GAGGGAAAATCGGTTCCCCCCCTCCCGAGCACCGGGAGGAAGGGGTGGAGGGGGGGAGGGGGGGGGGAGCCTGCACTGGAACGAAAGCGTAAGGTCGAGAGCGCCCAGACGAATCGCGCCAGACAGCATGGGCATGAGGTATGGTGTTAGCGAAATACTTTCATTCCTGTGGCGCCGAGGTCGCTGTGGCGCCACAGCTATGTGTGGAGATACTCGCACCAAGGCGGGGACAAAGTCTCGACCTCGCGCCAAGGATGGGACCGTCAAGAGATGGAAGCGACGATGTGAGCAAGTGACCAGGGGCAGCACCCAACCACGGGCGCTCATTTTCGACTACCTTGACCCTCGGGGAGACGATCCGGTGGATGACACGGCGTGGATTGAGGCAAAAGTAGGAAATTCACCTGGGTGCATCGTGTGGCTCTTTTCTTGACCCCTATCTCGTCCGCAAAGGGAAGCCACTCGGGTCAAGAGGGGAGGGAGTACATGTACTTTGATGGGGTTAAGAGAGGAAAAAAAAACAGGCATGAAGGCAAGACATGCCATGAACAAGAAACACTCCCCGACGGCCCAGCAGGAAGAATGCCGAGGCATGAGGCACACGCACAGGCACGGGCATGAGGCTTGAGACAGAAGACAGAAGGCATGGGCCATGATGCGAGCGAATTCGAAGGGGAAACAAGTCATGGTGGTGTGCATGGGACCGACTACCTACGGAAAGCGTCGTCGGCTGGACGTCCAAGCCACACAAGCCATCAGCTACGTCTATTCGTTCCACCTCGTGTCTTGAACCCCAGAATCGCAGGGAGTTCACAGGTATCACGAACCCAAAGGAAATCCCAGGAAGACATCCCGGGGCACCTCACTTCAGCAGAAACTTTCGCATTGCTCGAGGTACTTGTACCAGGTACCCATTTTATCCCTAGGCTCCCCCAACAGTATCCAGGCTCCAACCACTCAGATGCGCCAGCGCCAGCGCCAGCGTCAGTCAGTCGTAAGCGTCGCCTCCCCACGTCGGCCTTGGTCTTCTCCCTGCCACACCCCCGGGGCCCCCGCCCTCGTCCCCCCCCGGAGGCCGAAGGCCTGGCCGTGGCCCCTGTAAAATTTCTCTTGCTTTCTTTTTCCCCCCCCTCCCCCACCCCAATTTTTTTAAGAAACCCCCTGGTCCGGTTTCCCTCCCTCCCAGGGTTTTCCAGGGCCCCCCCCCCCCCCC